TCTGGGTATAAACAATTACATTAGTTTGTATTAAAATTTTTAACTAAAGAGCTATATTGCTTACTTTACTTTATTATGTAGTTTATCCATCAGCTTCCTTAGCTAAGTTAGAAAGCTATTAGCTATAAGTTCGCAGTTTTGAAGTTTTAAAATTATTAAGCATGCTTTTATAAAGGGTGTAGGGTTTGAATTAGAAAAACACGCAATTTTGGGAAATGATTCTAATACGTTTTATTCCATAGACAATTTTATAATACTTATCTTCTGATGAACCTTTACCGAGTTAGCACTTTTACTCTTTGATAGCTGGAGGGTTTGTGCAGAGTCTTACCCTACTCGCTGACTAATTTATGTATTCTTCAAAAGCTTCATGATTATTCAATGCCTGATATAAGATCTGCGTACCGCCTCGTGCATCTAATGATTATTTTGAGATTAGACCAGATGTTTGATGGTGTCCTTCTAATTAATATGATGTAGTTTATCGTCTGTTTAAATTTTTGTTTGTATTTAGATTCTTATCAGCTTACAGACCCGAACAATTAAACGCATTTATTTAAAAATGTTGGCAAAACGAAATATTTGCCAACATTTTTAAATAAATGCGTTTAATTATTCGGGTCTGTAAGCTGATAAGAGTCCTTCTAATTAGTCGCAATGTCACCAACTCTCACTCTCAGTGAATGCTGCCTGTGTTTACGAGTTATAAACAGGGCCCCGGTTTTGGACATACAATTTTGAATAACAAATTTTGAGCTCATCTCATACAATTAAGGCTAAATCTTTTTTATGCGATCTTATAATAAAATATAAACATGACTTCTCTGAACTTTAAACTGAACTTCTTCTCTGAATTTTAAATGATAATATTTTAGGCTTTCTTATTTTATTTATATAAATATATATAAATAGATATAAATTCTCGCTTTCACATAGAAGTCTGATTGAGACTGGATTAATTGTTATTTGTTCACTTATTTTCCAATGTGTATTTTTGTAACACACAAATACATGCGCTCCAAAAAATGTCCATGTCTATTTTTACTGATCTCTGATCTAGACCAATGATGGAGTCGCCAGAGCAAAGAAATTACAAACGCTTAATTGCAATTTTAATATTAATGTATTTTCAATCAAATATTTTGAAGTGGTTCTAATATTATTTTATATACCCGCAGTTTTTTGTCACTCTATGATGTTGGTATCCATACTATATATCTAGCAATACTAATCCGATTTTGTTAAACAAACATATGTTTGGAAGATGATATATCAAGCTATTTTTTTTATGAAGGAAGTTATGCAATTTGTCATTCGTGTAAAAAATCATATTAGCTAAAATATATTAAAGTAGCACCTCGCCCTGATTGGACAGTCACAAAAAATGCGACTAAAATTTCGCAACTTGTAGAGCAGGACCTGCACGCTATCTATCAGAAGATACTAGAGCCACTAAACATCAGTAGGCTACTCAAAGACATTTAATATTTAAATACTATATGCAATAATGCAAAAAAATAAGCTTTTACCAGATTACTATCAGTGAAACACCGTTGGAGTCGAACGAAATAGAAACAATTTCAAATATGGAATATGGAATGTAAGCGATCATAATCAAAGACCGATGACTCTCCATTAGCGACTTCAATGCCTGAATTGATGGCAAATAAGATTATATTAACTATTTGGTAGGATTTGAAGAGTATTATTTAATACAACTTGCTCTAACATAGTCTAAAAGCTAATTTGGTGCTCTACTGTTTACAACTCATTCACTGGAACGAAATAATTAAAGAAAGGCGACCAGAATTGACCAGCACAAAAGGCGCTGTATTACATTATAACAATGCTACGCCACACACATTTTTGATGAATCAAAACAATTTCAGTGAACTTGTTTGGGAAGTTTTGCTGCATTCACCATACAACGCGAAATTTGTGACATCTGATTACTATTTGTTCGGTCTTTACAAGACTCTCTTACTGATACAAAATTGGTAGAACGAAGTCACTAGTCACTAGAATTCACTTGGTCAAGTTTTACACCAATAAACTACAGAGTTTCTACACCTATGAAATTATAAACATACTCGAATAATGGTAAGACGTCATAAATAATAACGGCTATATAGTAAAAAAATTAGTTTATTTCCAGAAAAATTTTGTTTAAACTATCATGATATTTTTATATCATATTGTTAAATGAGAAATAAATTTTTAAAAGAAAATAATCGAAATATCGGCTTTTGACTTACGTTGGAAATTTTGACTAACGTTGACTTACTTACATTGACTTAGGTTGAAGTATTTCTGTAGTTTTTCTGCATTTAAAATTTAGTTATGTCATTTAATAAATCGTGTGACTGACACACAGATGGCGCTGCCATTGTCAAATCCATATGACGTTTATGAAGTATCAACCTTCAAAAGACTATGTGTAAAATTTCATGGCATTTTGATTAGTCAGAAAAAAGTTAGAGCTATTTAAGTGAAGCTACTTTTGTTATTTTCAAAACAATAATATTCAAAACAATTTCGTGTGTTAATTTATCATTGCTTCTTGATGAAAAAAATTACTGTACAAGCTCAGCAATGGCTTTAAAAGTGTTATCCGGACTCTGCTCCGTCGTAAAGAACCATTTGTTATTGGTTTGATGAATTTAAACGTGGTCATACACACACCGATGATAGTGTCCGATTGAGGACAACCAGAACGGAAAACATCAAAAAAATGCAGAAATTGGTTATATCTGATCGTAAATTAAAATTGCATGATATAGCTGAGACCGTAAAGATATCAGAAGGCAATGTGTTTACAATTATGCATGAACATTTGACCATTAGAAAGCTCTTTTCAAAGTTGTTGCCGCGTTTACTCACAGTCGATCAAAAACACCAACGTGTTGATGATTCAGAGCAGTGTTTGGCCATGTTTACACGTAATAAATCAGATTTTTCGCTTCGATATGTGACAATGGATGAAACATGGATCCATCACTTCACTCCGGAATCAAAACGATCATCATCTGAATGGACTACAGCCGGTGAAGTACGTCCGAATTGTCCAAAGACACAACAGCCAGTCAGGTTATGGCTTCAGTATTTTCACACTTCGAATTGCTTCCTCATCAACCATATAGTTCAGATCTGGCCCCCAGCGACTGCTGGCTATTCGCTGATCTCAAAAATATGCTCGCCGGTATGAAATATATCTCAAATGAAAAAGTAATTGCCGAAACTAAAGCTTATTTTGAGGTAAAAGACAAATCCTTCAACGAGCACGACATCGAGAAATTAGAGGAGCGTTGGAATGATTGTATTACCCTTGAAGGAGATTATATTGATGTAAAATCGATTTTTTGGCAGAAAAAATTTGTATTTCTTAACATTATTTATTCATTATATTGTTTGCAGCATAAAATTATACAACGCAAGTATAAATACAAACATAGTGAAATAGCTTATATTCTATAAAATGTCAGCTATCTTTTGGTATCGCAAGAAGGACTTTATGAGATACAGAAAAATTTGCAGTCAGTTTGGAGAAAGTTTATTTCTGTACATATATACCGCTAACAGGTATTCTCATTAATTTATTTACAGTTTTCCTTAGAAAATGCTTTAATTAATTTAAGTTTTATTGTATTTTTTCATTAGAATGAAATAATAATTTATAAGGCTTCAGGAAAATTTCTTTTTCATAATAAGGCATTGTAAATTCTTTCTTTGAAGTGTCACTAAATGTGAGCTGAAGTGCACATCTGTTGCTAAGGAATTATATTAATTTATTTATAATCTTACCGACATTTTTTTTCAATTTGAAAAAAATTTAAGATATATGATTCAGAAATTAAATCATTCGTATTGCTTAGTTCACCAATTCATTTAATTATTTTTATTAATTGAATACTTTTAATTCTTCACTTCATTTCGTAGCATATTTTCTCTTAACGCTTTTTAAAAAAATGAAACTAATTAAATATTTTCGTACCAAAAAATAAAAAAACAAAAACGTAAAGCCACTTAAATTAATGACATTAATGAATTACTTTTTGGAATTTTATAAATTAACCGCACTCGATAAGAAAATAACACTTCACCATTTCAGCTCGTCTCAGACAGGCATTTTAGGACTAGCAGGCGAAATGCGAATGAAACAATGTTAAATTGAATATAAATTTAAATTCACAAATCATTTAAAGTACATAATACCCTACATTAAAACCCTGCATTAAGCTTAAATAAAATTTGATAAGATTTGGCAGAAAAAATGACAAAAACAATGCCGAAAAGAAAAAAATTACAAAAAAATATGTTTTGCATTTTTGAAGTCCACTTGAATGTCGAAAACATTTGCAGATAACGTGTAATGCTGAAATAAATTCTTTTTTTCGCCAGATAAAATCACAAAAATGTATTAGAAATAATAAGTAAAAAAAAACTAAATGTAAAAAATATTACCAAGAAAATCAACTTAAACAACAACAACTGAAATTTACATTATACCGTTTGGAAAGGATGGGATGAATGGTTGCTCGCCATTCGCCAGGACAGCGATAAGACCGGCTCGTTGGAGTGGCAATTTCAGGCGTATATGAGCAGGCAGGCAGGCAATTGTTAAATGGTCTCATAAATTCTCCTCTTAACTATGAACTGTTTTACATAATGCTTAAGCAAAAACCACTTTAAGCTACATATAAGTTTAGCAAATAAGTACCAAAAACAAAAATGAGAAATCATAAATTATCTTGTGCGTTTCAAAATTGAAATACATAAGAATTTAAACTTGAGCATTGCAAAGTGGCATAAATATTAAAAATAAATTCACTGCATTATGAAGTATCTTCGTACACCTCATTGAAATAAATATGCTTCCGTGCTATTTATGCAAGCGTAATACCAAGCACTCGTATATGGAGGGTAAAAAAGAAGCACTACCAGCCAGACTGCCAACATCTATGAATACAGCAAAAATGACATTTTTCAGATTCATCACCAACACCAACACCAGTAGCAGTAGCACCAGAATCGTCATCGTCATCAACGTCATCTGCATCATCATCATCATCATCGGGAGTTACTTCCGCTCTCATTGGCATTTCGTGTTACTTCATTTTACTATTGCGCATCCTGCAAAGTATACGGCTATATCCGTTCTTAGTCATTTTTTTCTTTTTCCCATATATTCTTTTGGTTTTATATTATTTTATTTTTTATTTTTGTTTCTTTTTTTTTTTATTTACTCGGTCTTCCAAACGGAAATGGCAGTTTCTTGTTTGTTCAATACAGTTCAATATGCAATGCAACCGCCATTTTCTTTTCGTTTACTTTTTTGATTGCTTTTTAGTTACCTTAATGCTTATCCTAAGGATTTCTGGAAGCAAAAGCGTTGAACTGTTTACATTGCTTGAAAGTGTTCCGAGACATTCGGGTTGATAAAAATTAAATTACGAAAAAGTAAATAACTTGATATGAACACATTTGTTTGATAAATTTTGAAAAAACGATTCCAGATATAATTCAAGAATTTACTTAGAACTACAATAGTTAAGTATTTTAGTACTATCTATATGAATTTATAATTGAAATTTCGTATTTCCACTTGTGCTAGTGTTTGCTCTGTGGTTACTATTCAACATGTGTTGTCTTTTAGTTCTACCTATTAGTAAGCCATGACCAGGCATTATGATTCACGACTTCAATTTATGCAATGATGTTTTAATTTTGAGCAATCCATTAAAGTAACTTACATTACATTAGTATCTATCAATTCGATACAAAGGCTATTCTGTATAAAATATCAGACTAAAAATGGATACCATTTATTATCACGCAAATACGCTCGCTGGATAGTAACATTTTATTAATGAAAATTAGAAATATTTATATTTTCAGTCAGTTTTCACTGTTATGTTAATTACCAAAATAAGAGTACGTATCTCTGAGAGAGACCAACTTTCATAATTCCTTTCCTACAATTGACAGCAAAGGAATTGCAGAGATTATCAATACTATTTACCAAAAACTGTATTATGTGTATTCCTGAAAAATAGTAAATGTGAAATATATCGAGGTATTTTGATGTTTAGATAAAACTCAAGTAGGTGTGTTGCATATATATTTATCCACTACCAATCTCAAACCGATCTGTAAATAAAAAACCTGAAGTGACGCTACCTAATAATTTTAAGAAGCTAATAATAGAAATAAAAACAAATAAATATAAAAAATTCTTTAAAATTTAATTTAATATTTATTTCGGCAACTATTGAATTTTTCGTAAACCAGAAAAATCCGATTTTTTAAATGATATAAAAAAATTAATGATTAATATAGTCCTCATATCGAGAAATGAAGTTAAAAATAACTTAAAATTAGAATCTTTTTAGATATAAAAAGATTTTAGATATATGTAAATTTGTTTAACCAGGTTAAAATCCATTTGAACTGGACCACCTAGTTATACCCCTGTTGTTACTCGTTTATTTTTGGTAAAACAGTTAATAATTCCTCTTATTATGTTTTCCTCTTTACTTTATTCTAAATTATGCTTAATCAATTCCATGACGCGATATGTTTACGGTCTCAGAAGATTTGATTACCTGGGTAATTTCAGGAATGCAATCTTAGGTTGCGACATTGAACAATTTATGAAGATTCGGGTCTGTTAGTTACTGTTCAAATTGGTTAATGCTAAATTCCCTGAATACCTTTTTAATTGTCTGCAAGAATCACGATCCAATAGATCTCTTTTATTTATTATTCTTAGATTTAACTTGTTTTCACAAGTTTTCTTTTTATCCATTCTGTCAGAGTATGGAATTCGCTTTCATGTACAACCAGAAACACAAGTAGAGTAGAAGCTTTCAAAAAACTACGAATTAATACATTATCTTGATATCACCACTTGATATCTGACACTAAATTCTATTTCTTAATTATTTATTATTATTTTTTTTTATACTCGTATCTTTTCTGTTTGCAATATTTAGTTATTTGTTCTAATTTTTAATACTAAATTTTTTTATTTTGATTTGATTTTTTTTCTCTCTTATTTTTTGTTTTATAATCTTTTATGCTTTATTATTTAATAATTTGTAAATTGTTATTTATTATGTATACATTATTTATCTCTTTATTTTTGTTAGTTTTGAAGTTAGTTCTCAGATGATGCAACAAAAGAGTGTTTTTCGCCTTAACGCATTATTAAATAAAATAAATAAAATAAAATAAACTGCAACTTTTTAGAACGTCATATTTTTTATTTGAAACTGAGTTTTTTTTTTCAAATAAATTCTTCGATTTAATTTCGTGTTTTTTAAAAAATCAACTCAAAGAATAGGCTAATAGGCTAGAGTCTTCAAAGAAGAGTCTTCTCGAGTATATCAAAAATCTGTAAAGTTTTAATAGTGTCTTCTGAAAATATGTTCTACTACCAAACGTCATTTGGTACCAGATGTCACCAGTTGGACGACTTTAAATACCACTATGCCATTAATATGAAGTGTGGTATGTGATCTTTTACGTCGCCATTATTAGTTGGCAAAGGTTTTGAGTGACCATCAGAATCATGGGCGCAAATTATGTCACCCATAAGCATTAAGACACCTAAAACTTCTCCGTAATAGGCATTCAATGATTTAAAAAATACAAACGGAAAGCGATCGCTGAAGAATTTTTTCAAGAAAGGAAAAAGTAAATGTTTTTCAAACAAATAAACAATAAACATTTACAAACTATTATTAAGTTATATATGGTATTCATATAAATATTAGTTTAAAAATTCTGGCAATTAAAATTTTGGAACAGTCCAATTTAGCCATTAATAAATGTAGAATATAAAGCGCACCTAATCCAACTTAAAGCAATCATTTAAGAGTTCCATCTTCATAACCACAAATTCTGCCTATAATAACAGTCATAGAGAGATATAGGTATAGTGTAGTATATCCAAAATAAAAAAGAAGTATTTTTGCATATTTTTTGTACATAATGAAATGTAATATAGTGCCATATTTAAATCCACATTTATATCTACAAACATTTTAAATTTAGAATGTAAAAATTGATCAGAAAAACCAGAAGAGAGATTAATATAAATTGCAAGTAAGGAATTTGAGAAATTTTCAATTACTTGCAATGATTTTAAGTGGCATGAATTTTATATAAATTGAAGTAAAATTTTTAAGAAAGTGAAATTTATATACGTTTCAGTGCAAATCCACCTTGAACTGCTTGAATGAATGAACGAATGAATGAGTGAATGAATGAATGCATGCATACAACATGCATGAATGCTTGCAACTGATGAATTCAGTTAAAACATATGGTGGATGTATTCGTGTGTTGGTGGCGAATGCAGGCTACAGGCTGCAGGACGTAGGACCCAAATACGGCAAAGGAGTTAAGTGTAATCGAAACGTTTTAGTGCGAACACATTTTCACTTACATATTCACTTGCATGTGGCTAAACAATTTAAGGGAAAACGTTTTAGTATCCTTTTTAGCATAAGGACATGAAAGTAGATTTTTAACATAAACTGAATTTTGTAATTGATAAAAGCCTTTACCAAAATTTTCTGAACACCAGCTGAAGTTTAGAAATTAAATAAGTGTTTTACATAAAATTTATGTTCTTACATAAAATACTTGCAAATCATTGCAAGTATATACATATATATATATTTGCAATGATTTGCTATATGATTTGATATAACATATATATACATTAAGTCGCAAAGGTTACAATGGGCTGCTCATTTAATTAGAATGGCGTCGGAGAGAAAGCCGAACAGCATATTCAACGCAAAGCCGATGACAATCAGGAATAGAGGTAGGAAAAGAACAAGATGAGATGAGAATGTGTATGGTGATGCAAGAACGATTGGAGTACTGAACTGGAAGAGAGTAGCAGAAGATAGGGACAGATGGAGGCAGATCGTAAGGGAGGCCAAGGTTCATACTGGACTGTAGTGCCAAATAAAAAGAAGAAGATATATATAAAATATATAAAAATATCCTTTTAAACTGAAAATTGCTTTTCTTTGAATGAAACAAATATTATCAAAAACTATACAAAGTAGTTTAAAAACTTCGTGATTTTATCGCTCAGTGAAATAACAACAGCACAAAGAATATGGTTCTACATTCATGAAGGAACGACAAAATAACTAGATGACATCGTCTACGATAAGCACACATAGAGATGTTGAAATAATCAGGGTACATCCCCTCTTAATAATAAAAATATGGTTGAAGAAATCAGCATGCAGCTACTGATAACAAACAAAGCCTACAAAGCTATTTATATTCAAGGTATTGCTTACAGCAGAGCTGTCCAGACTAGATAAGATCGAGGTCAAATTTGCATAGGTTACAGGGCCGCAGAAATAAATACATACGTTCATAATATAATCTTTTTGGAGAAAAATTAACATCGGGCGATAATATTAAATTTATTGGTTCTTCTTTAATTTATCTTTTACAATTTTATCAATTTTATTTTAGGTATTAAGTTTAGTTGTGGCCATACTTATAATATTTTATATTTAATGTAATGATTTATGGCACTGCATACGAGTTTTTTAAACCAGTTGTACAAAGAAAGTATACTAAAGTCTTTGTCAATTAAGTAAATTTACGTCAAAACGTTAAAACATTTTAATTTTTTTATTTATGATGCCATAAAAATAAAATAAAGTAATGTAACGAAAATATAACACAGAAAAATTTGCCTAATTATGGTAGATTAAAAACAAGTCGCGGGCCACATGATGCCCATGGACCATGCTTTAAACAGCCCTGGCTAACAGAATCTTACTAAAACTCATACATGCGTCTACATTTCGACGGCTTAGAAAAATATACTTTGATCTTTATATTTGATCTGACCTAACATAGGACAGTACAGACAAGGGAGGTGGGAGTCTAGAAGCGTCCCATGGAATGGTATTGCCACACAATCAGAACTAATAAAGATGTTTGTTTAAAGACACTTGGAGAATATAATAATCAGTTTGGCTTTGCACTGTTAGCAATTGTTTAGTTGTTATGGCCTACTATACATAAGCAGACAGATTGTTGATTCTTTTTCAAGTGT